CTATATTTAGTCCTGTAGAGTTATTTGTGGTATGAAGTTAAGGCGGTTATTTGTTTCGAGTTTAAATCTTGTGTTTCAGGTATACGGAATATCATCGAAGCTTCAGAAGAGGTATGTTTGTTTGTATATATGCCGCGTGCATTTTCTTCATGTTCTAGGACGTTGGACTAGTCATAGGCCAAGCCGCAGCTCAGAAATTAGCACGATTTTTGTCATGAAAGGTGACTTTTCCACGCGTATTTCACCGACATTATTTGCTCAGTTGTTATGTGAATGATTTTTGCACATTTCCTCGATTGAAGTTCGAAGAGGCAATAAAAAACGATGTTCCAGTCTTATCTCACTGTACCTGCAGTAAGTCTATCTATATTCAGAGGCACTTCAAGGAAAGATTTCTGACCTACGACAACCCAGATCTTGTTCCTTTAACACTGTTTGGTATTGCCAGTGTTGCTGCCTGGTTCCAGTTTGCATGAGAATAGCTTCGGAGTGAATGAAGGTAATTTTCTCTAGCGGTTGTAGAATGAAACTCTGGTTTCGGTTTTTCTTGGAGTATCCAAGCTTCCCGAAAAAACCACAATCTAAACGCGGAAAAGATTACAGTGAAATATCCCCCCACTGATATGGAGACCGAAAAACTGTGGAAAGTCTAGATATAGATGGAATTCAGCCTTTAATCGATGCGATCAGAGACGCGACGGCAAAGCGTCGACGTCAGTTCAACTTAGTTTTGAAAGTTCCGGTTTTAAAATTTATAGAAGACAACGTTTCGTGATACAAGATACATAAGCTGAGTAAAGTGAAATTTTACTACTTGAACAAGATCACCAAAGTATCTTGTTTTTCAGCACTGGTCAAAGAAAATACAGTTCTTTTTAAATTAACTGAAAATAAAATTAACTGAAAACAAATGAAGCGATGAACACGACAGCTATAACCGAATTACTGCGCAGTGGCAATGAGGTAAAAGAACTGGAATTGCTTTTGAGTTCAGATCTTTGTCATTTGTTCGAACCAATACCTGAACTGCCAAATAGGGAGTACAAAAATATGCGGCTCAGTCAGTGACTCAAAACAGTGACAAAGCATTGCGGACTTCAAGCAAAAAATTGAGTTTCGTCAAAGAACATTAATCTTTGGGGTGGAAGAATTGAGTTAATCGAATAAATGAACCTCTCTGACATCAATCATTTCTTGTCGTATTCAGCGGATAACTAGGAAAGAAGGAAAGGCACCTTGTCTTTCTTCGCTCGAAACAGCACCAGTGATGGCTTTCCATGTACTAACAGTCAATGGCTGATAGATTCTCGAAGCACCAGCAAAAATACTGAACTTTCCCGAATGAGGGACTAAGGAGGTCCATATGCTGTCGACCTTGCACTGGCAAGAAATTTGAGTAACCCGGTAGACGATAACGCGCGACAATTTAGAGAGTGAAATAGCGCTGACTTGTCGCTATTTTTTAATCTGAGGTGACGGTGCTGTCGACAACGACCGTGAAGCGCACTAGTGAATCGACTTAATGATTAAACGACTTAAGCAGCTGGATTGGTCCGTTTTTCATTACCGACACACCTCGTAATGATCGGCGCGATCTTAACGGTATTCGCTGAAGCAGCAATGTACTGAGTCTGTAGTTTTTGGACACATGCATCATCAATTCCGGCCGCAAGTTGCGCCTGTACTTGACGGAGAAGGACTACACCAGTAACAATAGCAATGAAGAGAATCAAGACAACGAACCAGCCACAAGAGACTTCCGCTGAAACTTGAAACTTGCGCCTCGAAGCTGGTACCTGGAAAAAAGTTTGTACCAGCATCCGGGCAGGCGACCGGCTCTCTATGATGACCGTTCCGCGAACTAGCATCGCGACCACGTGGAATGCGTACTTTCCGGGACATCCCCTTTGCTGGTGAACAGTTGAGCAGTGAATAGTTCGGCGTTGAGCAGCAGGCCATCATCCGGCTGTAAATTGTACGGAATGCCCTGAGAGCTGAGGCACTGCCTGAATGCGGATCAACATTTTGCTGAGAGGGATGTCCGGCGATACTTCGAGTATTTACTACTTTTATGGTAATACCGGCGGCAACAAGTCGAAGCTGCCGAAGCAGGACATGAGCAAAAAGTCGCTGATGAACAACTGGGGGATGAGTCTTTTGCTGCCGTTCTCGTTCCCAGGAATCAATTGAAGCATATGTCGGCGCGCTGCGGACATTGTCCACTTCTAATCTCAGGCTGAATGATGCTCGGACCTCGGCCGCCAACAAAATGTGCTCTTGGTCAGACACGACGCTGTTATTGAGGTCGAAATATGTGAGTCGTCTGAACTAAATCTTGAACACGGGCGGTGATTGCCTTTGCATATGTTTAAAACGATATTTTAGTATATAGCACTTGAAACACTTTTCGGAAAATTACTGGCGTATTTTCTTGTTTACTTTTTTCGACATCAGAGTTTCGCCGGTGCGTAGGGTATTCAAACAACGGAAACAAGCATGAAAGCAAAACGTGTATGATACTGACAGGTTTACAGAACTTGAGAATATTCTGCTAGTCTGTTGACGTTTAGCTGTCCTCGCTGAGAAAATTTCCTTCTTGCCCTTTTAATTCGCTGCTTTCGCTTGATGCTGATGCACAGGATGACAATAGTTAAAAATGTCGTAGCTGAAGCCATGGAAATAATCACTGTCACTGTTCGATCGTCCTTTGCTTGCTTGGCTTTACCTGAAAGTGTTTGATTCTTTCGGTGATACAGTCGGTAACAACTTTCTGATCTTACATTTGGATTCGTCGCTGTAATCTCCTTCTCCGCAGTCATTGACTTCATTGCAGCGGAGTTTTAAAGAGATGCAATGTTTAGTGTGTGAGCAGAGAAATTCTTCTACATGGTCGCACCGTTGAGCTACAAGGTGTCGCTATGTAAGGTTTCATGAGATTGCTTTTAATTTTACCTGTTTTGAACTCGGTCCAGGAAAAGTTGAATCCTTTTAGGCCATT